TTTATGTTCAAAAAAGTACTGAACTTGACCCGGAAATATTTCTATTGAACCATTTTCTTGTACAAATTTTGCAAGAATAAATGAATTCTTTGAATATAAAAGTGAGTTAGCAGATCCAAATATCTCAGATCCAATTCGAATGCGTTTAAACTGATTTACTTGAGGCAGAACAACAATACTGTGGTTAGAATGTTTTATGTTGCTCTGGACCATCTCCGCGATAGAAAAAAATTTCATATTATAAGCATTATTATAATAATCTACTAAGATATTATATATTTCATTTGGCAAACCAAAATTGATTTTTTTAAGAGATAGCATTTTTCCAGGAAAAGGTTCAGAACCGGTAATTGTATCTTCAATTTCAAGCTGATAGATCTTTCTAAAGTGACGAAGCTCATCAAACTCAAATTCATCGTAAATTGCCAAACTTTCTGAAGATGCTCTTGGTTGTATAAACTTTAAACTTTCAATAAGTTTTAAGTTATCTGATTGCAAAGATATAAGATCAGCAAGTCGCCAATTCAGCATGATGATTCGTAATAACTCAGACTCAATTTTACGTTGACTAGTTAGAAAAGAACCTAAAAAGAACATAATTATTAGTACACACAGTGATGAAGAGCAAAATATTATTATATATTTCATTTATATATACTCATTTCCTAGGGATGGGCAATGTAATAAACAATAATAAGACATATAAAAATTGCCATCCTTTCCCAACATATCATTTACTCAGATGACAATTTACTATTTATTAACTGTCAGTTAATTGTCATCCTATATTGTGTTGTGTAAATGGTATGTTGTAAATAATAGTTTTGGAAAATGAGATATGACTACTCAAGGTTTGATATATAATCTCAACTATATTAAGAATCGCTGTGTAATAAGTAAAATTTATATAACTTACTCAAAATACCATTCATTCTTTCATATGGATAGCACCAAAAAGAATATAATGGGCCGTAATCCCTGCAACATTCTACTATGTGCAGAGATAAATGGATGTTCGGAGTGATTACCTCCGGACCATAATTTTTTTCAATCAAGCAAGCAACCTGCAACAATCGAGCTTGTGCTTCGTCTAACGCATCGTCATCAATAATACGTGCTACTAATAAGAAGCAGGCTCTCACGAAATTGGATAAAATTTTTTTGTCTTCAACATCCAAAAGATCCCATATTAATGAAATCGCATATATCATAATGAAGGTTTTCTATTGATCGGCTGTGAAATTAGAAAATCCTTCACCTGACGCTATTTTGAACAGGATTCTTCTAAGGTCAGTTGGTAATATAATGTTTTGTGCCCGTTCTTTCATCAATTCCAGACTGGACTTTGACAATTTTCTGCCTTCAACCCATAACCTTTTCACAACCCAACACGCCATCCCCAAAAATAAATAATGCATTGGGTCAATTATTAAATGCGCTATTGGGTTGTAGTAAGGTAAACGAAGCATTTCGGACCATCTTACATGAGTCCTACTAACATGCCTCTTTCTATTATCTTCTGTTAATTGTTTCTTCCAAATAAAGGCGTTTTTACAATGTTCTACTGGGTCTCTTGTTTTAAACTATTTATTCATATCATCAAAGCCTCCAAAATTTGGGCTTTCGCCCTCTCCATCTGCTGTTTTGTAACACCTGTGATACACGGCCAATGCTGATATATAGCAGTATAACTTTCTTGCTGCTGGAATATCATTGCTTCTACACAAAAAATATTGATAATAAAAATTATTAGCATACAGTAAGATGCAGGTTACTCTTGATCAATGTGTCATTAATTTTAAAAAATAATACAGTCAAATAGGATATCACATGTATAATATAACGGAATAGACATATAATGGATTTAAAAAATTTTAGGTCAGGGTGAAACCTGAGTTGTTCTTTATTGTCAGTATGGATACGAAAAGGGTGAAATTTGCATTTTTTTAGGTAGTTTTTTTGACGCAGCTTTACAATTAATCAGGGCTAGTAGTGATGTATATCAATAACGTAACCACCTCTAATGTGGATTTCACCGTCATAAAATTTTTATTATCTCTTACACTATAGAGTATTAGGTAAATTGGCCTGAGGGCAGATATCTAATAATAGCAGCTAAATATCACTCTAGAATTATTTATTGCTAACATAATATGCATCAAAGTTTGATGTGAATAAAAAAAATGATTAATTAACTCCCTGCAAAATGTTGTACGAATTATATGAAGCCCAGAAGACCTTAAAAATTTATAATAATAAAATTATATATTGCTAACAATGATATTTATTAAAAGCTTTTTAATAGGAAATTTAGGACCTGCTGAACAAAGTGCACAGAGTTGATAGACCAATTTACCTATAAAATAGTGCAAGGGATACACTCAAATGTAGTTGACCGTATTCTTATTTCTTTGGTTTTTGAAATTTTAAAACACTATATATTGATCTTTTAAGAGAGTATAACCTGATTTTTATATATTTTTAAATTATTAACTCACCATGTTCGAATTTACAGTATTTATTTATTTATTTATTTATTTATAATAATTAAATTTTTAATCGAAAGAATTAGATTTTCAAAATTTGGTTATATGAATTAAATAAATATAAAAATTTTTACTTACCTACAACATATTACGGCCATTCGGATCTTTTTTCCAGAAGGATAATTATGAGTTGTTGATAAATAAACTCCATTCCAGAATTCCAACAAGTCATCTATTACTGGGCCGAGATAATGATTAATCTGATGCAATTTGACTTCTTTTGGCCCTGATAGAAGGGCTAAAATCAACATATTCTCTTTTTAACTCGTATTTCCCGCAATAGATTACAAATTACATCATATATTGCCCTACTACTGTAAGAAGCTGAATCGAAAGGCTGAAACTAATCTATATTTATAATTATGCCTAGGTGTGAATCCGCAGTTTCAGGTGTGAAACTCTTAATTGTTCAGAATTATTGTTATCTGACGGAAAAGTTTTTCAAATTTTACCATCGTATATATCAGATATCAAATATGGCTCATGGTCCCATTTAATCCATTTACACAAAAGTTCCTCAAACCTCGGTCTTTGGAACATTGCAGATATTTGTGTTTTTAGGCATAGTAATGGATATACCATTTTAGGACGCCAAATGTGCCCATTATTTACTGGTATTTTAAGTAATAATTCGGACCCACAAGGTTCACGTTTAGATTGTAATGGATGGTTAGGAAATTCTATATGTGAATACTTAAACTCTGAATTATTATCATTTGTATTTTTTAGAACTATAGTATCAATATCATACAGCTTGTTATAATTAAGGCAAGCTGCAAATTTTTTTTTTTGTTAATTTTTAATGATTTTATAGCCATATCACTGTTTGAAGAAAAGTTTTCGAATCTTATTTTATTAAAATCTGACAAAAGAAATTTTAGATATCTTATCAATGAGTTAATCGCGACTTTTAGGAGCCGGAACCTTTCTTGATACTTGAAAACCCAAATCAAAATATCAGAATCACTTATGACTTTTTTTATATTAGAATATTTATAAGTTGCTTTGTTGAAATCAGAAGCCGCAAAATTATCAATAGGAATCTTATCATTATTTATGAATTGTTCATCACAGGACGATTCGTCAAATGAATAGGTTTGCTATTCAGGTTCTTTATCTGAAATTATAATATTGTTGGCTTTTGAAATCGATTATATCTAAAAAAGCTAAACTTCTAAAAAAAATTCTTAATTTACCATTGTCGATCACCATCGCATCGTTTTCATGGATATTACGAATCTTAGCTGAAATAATTTTAGAATAATTTGTTGAATAAAAAAGATGGACCAGTATTGAATCAACTTTATTTTTTTCTTTTAGCAATTTTTGAGATCAAACCTTGAAGCTGCTTCTCTATCTCTTCATGAGCCATCCTGGTTCTTGTTTCTACTAATTTACTGTTACATAATTTACAGTAACATGGCACTTTAGGTCGATTTGTACGTTTCTTGGATATTACATTTCTTTTAGGTATTGATGATGCTAATTTTTTATACAATTGCTGTTTCCTTGATTGAATATGCATTTTTTTTAATGAAATAACAATAATCGAATATTGATCTTTGGTTATAAAATCAGAGATAGCAATTGTTTGATCCATAAATCATAGTTTGATGTGCCAAGAGAAATCGAGTGTACTTATGTAATTATATTTAGAGTATTTTAAAGTATGGTAGTTTGGATTTGACTTGCCATAATGAATTTGGATTACTGTGTCTCAAATATTAAGTATTTGTGTTGGGTGTTCTTAAGTACAAAATTAGTTGATTTGGTACTTTTCTCCAGCACTTAGTGAATTTAATTGTTTAAGAATCCAATTTGTAATATGCCTTAATTAGTGACTTTAATTATTATGAATTACTAATTAGTGATAGTACCATACTAATATGTATATCATGGATTTCTTAACTGAATTGATCTTGACTATTGATACGTAGTGTAAAGACGATATACACATAATACTATCAATCACATTCCCACCAAAGTCATATGTATTAAGGTTTGATCCTTTTTTTTAGTTATCGTTATAAGATTATGTCATTAAATAATACGTAAGCTTATTATTGCAATACTACTTTATGTCAAAAAAAGTATATGTTTTGACATTTTTTTAGTTCAATTGACAGATATAAAAGGACAACTTTTAGACGGGCTTAAAAAGAGTAATCATATCTATTCAGGATACTTTTATATGTACATATAATATGCATCGTTCTGGAAGCTCTTATCATAGCTAAAATAGATCTCGATCAAAAAGTTTGAGCTATAAGTGTTCAAGGAATAGAAATAAGTATGAATTTCGTTATGATAAAGATACCAAGCATAATCGGCAAGCTATAATATTTGTTCGATTTATATATCGATATTGTATCATAATTAATACTCATGCATTAACTTAGGTCTTCGCCATTTATTTTTAAGGATTTGTTACAAAAAAAACCTTATAATAATAAGATGAAAGAGAAAGAGAGTCAGGATGAAGGTATGTTTAACAATTATTATTGATCACATATCAACACTATATTTTATTAAAATATGTTTTTTAGACGAAATCGCTTCATTAACACAAGACAAAAAGATCCAAAAACTGTTTGAGAAATTTTTTAACAATTTAAGGCCACTTATAAATAATGATGACGAAAGCCAGATACAAATTCAAAATCAATTGAACAGAAGTCGATCAAGATCTCAAGATAATTCAGACTGGAGTCGATCAAGCTCTCTAGACAGACTAAGCCAAAGCAATTCAAGATCTCAAGACAATTCAAGTATAAGTTGTTTGCAATTACAAGATCAATCGAGCAGAAGTAGTTCGCCAATTCAAGATAAATCAGATCGAAATAGTTCACCTAAATATTGCTTTATTGAAGACCTTCCTGATGACCTTTGAATTGCCATAAGGGTAAATAAAAAAATTTTTATTTATATTTTTATTTTATTATATTTATTACTATAAATAAGATTTTTCATATTTAGCGACAGATCTTCTGAATAATCAAAAGGATGCCAACCCAAAGCTAACTGGTTTTGGACCAGACGTTTATCTCTCAGGAAAAACTAATAATTAATACAATAATTCCAACTGTGATAAATGCATTAGATCCAGAAATGTTTCCGGTTGCTGAAAATATTGTTTATGACATTATTCATATTTGTTATAAGAACCAACGTGAGTTGCATTTATTTAAACAACAACCAGCTACGCAACAAGATAATCATGTTAGAGAGAAGCATATGATTGGCAGAAGGAATGAAGTAAGTTCTATTTTGTACCTTTTTTTTTAATTTTTTACTAATTTATTATGTTATAATAGAAGCGAAGAAATAAAACCAATATTATTGATTATTTATATACAATTAATGATCCATTAGTTAAATTATTTAAGGATCAAGAACTTCAGCCGATTAAAAATATGTCTGTGTACCATTCACCCAAAGTTTCTGAAAGTGATGAAGAGAATCCTTCCAATGGTGGAAAGATTATTACAAAGGATTTGAAATGGTGCTTAACTACTGTAAGATTAATGATAATCATCATATTTGCCATACAAATTTTTAATGTTCTCATAATGTATGAATGAATTAAATTACTTTAAGAGTTATTTTATACATAATAGATAATTTCAAAATCTTTTAAAACTAACCCAGTTATATTATGAGAGCCAATTGATTAATTTTGTATGACTAATTTATTTACAGCTATGGTCATTTTTACATAATTACATCGATCATATATTTGCTGAATCGTTCAAGGTTCTGAAAAAATGACTTCGTACTCAAAATACTGTTAGTTATTATGAGAAAGAACAAATCAAGCCATTCTTAGCACCGAATTGGACGATTAGTAGCTACAGAGGATTCTTGAAAAATGCTGTGCAAAATGCTTGTAATAAACGATCATCCAAAATGCTTCCTCAAAGGGTATCGAGATATAAAAATATGTTTAGAAGATAGTGATTATTTACAAATCGCATTTGCAAGTTAATATACTGTCTAAATTACAATTAGTCAAATATGTATTTAAGATAATCTATAAGTGTTATATTACTTGGGCTAAGCTAGTGTATTGTTAGTGCAATAATTTACTATTTTCACTACCTTTAATGAAACTGTATTAAATTTATGAATATCACTGCGCATCATGTTGAATTTGCTCAATTAAAATAGTCAACTCTTTAAATTTGATTTTCTTTTTTTAAAAACAGCTATTATTTCTTCAAAATTTGTATTTTTTTTTTCAAATCTTCAAATTGCTTAGTAAAACAAATGCTTTTTATTGTCTCATTCACATTTATTAAAGTATATCATTGTTTAGTTTAATTTATCAAAATTTTTTGTAATATTATAGATGGTTCTGAAAATAAAAGAAAGTTCGTTATAGGAATTACTGTTTTCTTAAAAGCTCATGACACTTTTTATACTGAATTATTATAAATTGTAGTTCATCACATCCAGGGTCATCTGTATTAAATCTCATTCAACATCTGTTATACTATGTAAATGGCCATATAGATGACCCCAATTTTTTACAATAGAAAAATTTTTAAATTACGTATATTATGTATAACAAGATGTATAACTAATATTTATCTTTCATGAACCAAATATTTTGGTTAGGTAACTTAAACTACACTTGATTTTACTTAAAAAAGAGTAACTAACTTATATAATCAAATTACACTTAATCTTCAGATCGTTATAATTATTAATTAAACATACAATTAAAAAACAGTATAAAGTGTAAGGGCCTTTGTAATAGAATCCAAAAAATATGATTTTAAGATAATCAAGTTTTTTTGTGATCAGAAATTTGGGCATTTATTGGTTAATAATTTCAGCAAATTTTATGCTTCATTTTCTTTATTTTTTGTTTAGGTTTATAT